TAATACGAGTTGTAGTATAAAGAAGAGGGTATAGATGATAAGTATCACAGCTACAATCGGCTGATTCAGTTCTGGCGGGGCAGACAAAAGATATTAGGGTAGTCGCACAGGGTGTTTTTTTTTTAATTTCTTTTGTTGGGTTCTCACTGGGGATTAATATCACTTTGTAGTTCCATTACTACAGTAGGAGTATGAAAAAAACAGGTTTTGTTTTTAGTTGTTGTATATTGGTGGAGGGGAATATTGGTATGTGGAGGGATTAGTTTTATTTTACATTTCGAGCGTGTCATCTTCGACTTTATTTTATCACCGAGAGTCTGAGAGTTTGAGAGAGAGAGAGAGAGAGAGAGAGAGAGAGAGAGAGAGAGAGAGAGAGAGAGAGAGAGAGAGAGAGAGAGGGAGAGAGAAGGATTTATGGCATCGGGCGGTATGCATTTTCACACACACTCACACGCACACATACACACACACACACACACACACCCACACACACACACACACACACACACACACACACACCCACACACACACACACATTGTTCCCCTCCAACACACAAAAAATGTATATGTTTCATGCAGTCACTCGAAATTAAATGTGGAAACATCGAGCAAGTGTCAGACTATAAGTATTTGGGTGTTACAATAGACAACAAACTCAACTGGCATGTCCACACATCTCTCCTGCATAAAAACAGTGAACAAAAGACTATTTTTTTAAAGGAAGCTAAAGTATTTTAAAGTTGATAAAACATTGATGCCCATGTTCTACCATTCAACCACAGAAAGTATGATCAATTTTTGTATAACAGCATGGGCCGGGAACACAAGACAACAAGTTAAAGAAAAATTAAATCGACTAATACGGAAAGCATGTAAAATTTGAACATCTTCATTCCCCTACTTGGATGAATTGTATATAACAGCTTGCACTAAAAAGATTAATTCCATCTTTTTAGACAACAAAAATCCCTTACGTTTCCTCAAATAAAAACATCATTCAGAAGTAAAAGACCTTGGCTTCTGATCTGTAACAAAGAAAGATACAGTAGGTCATTTTTACCATCATCTATCAAAATGTTTCCATAAAGTATACTTACGACCTTAGAGCAGGCATCAAAATAAAATTGAGTGTGTATCTAGCTTTCGATTATTATTGTTTATATTGCTGCTCATTTATATTATGCATGTGATTGTAAGCCTACGTATGTGTGTATGTGTGTGCGCGTGCGTGCGTGTATGTGTGTATATATATATGTGTGTGTGTGTGTGTGTGTGTGTGTGTGTGTGTGTGTGTGTGTGTGTGTGTGTGTGTGTGTGTGTGTGTGTGTGTGTGTGTGTGTGTGTACACGTGGTGGAACACCAAAACAATGTGCCAGGATCTGGACAAAAAAGATGTCTTATCTTATCTTATCTTATTATCTGCAGCTACGGATGTTTTCTATTGACGCGGGACCCTATTATAGCCTGCATATAAACTTTAATGCGAATAAACGATTGGACAAAAACGTGACAATCGTCAACCACACCCTTGATCTTAAGGTAGGTAAGATGTAACACCTGGCCTTCTCGGATAAGGGCGAAAAACCTCGACGGTCCTGTGTGCAAGTTGTGCATGTTAGAGATCCCTTGGCCGCCGACCGGTCAAAATTCACAATTTCCTTCCAACTGAAAATGTTTAATGTGTCCCGCGTGCTCTTATGACCTTATTTGGGTGCGAGCGCCATAAAACAATTAGATCTAGATCTAGATCTACAACAACAAAAAAGCCACACACACAAACAACAAAAAACAGACACCGGGTGAAGAACGTCTCATCCGCGCCGGACAGATTATATTTATAGACGAGAGGGTGTTTCGTTTTAGTTTTTATTTCGGTAAAAGTTTTACGGCGCTCGCAACTGCATTAGATCAAGGTCATATGAGCGCACGAGTGGGAGTTTTGGAACAGAAATTCTCCTTTTCAACAGAAGATCAGTGTTTGGGTAAAGTGGCACTATAATTGCCATTTTGTGCTGGGAAAAAGGTAAGACGAACAGATATAAGACACACAATAAAGGGAAAGTAAAGAGGTAGCCTATCAGTAGCGACCCCACCCCCCTAAAAAAAAACCCAACATTCCAAGCTATAACACATGCAATGGAAAAGACTGACGGAAGCTGGTGTCTGAAGAGGATCGGAGAGAGACAGCAACCTGCGTGCAAAAGCCAGATGAATACAATGTATCATCCCAACCAGCTGATGACTGGCACGATCAGTGGGTCGATCAGCAAGCCAACCCTTTCGTGGATCCTGAAGAGGAGCGGAAAGGGGGGGGGGGGGGGCTATGGCATTGTAAAGCCTGCGATGATACCTATTCTCCAACCAAGTCATCAAATAACCAACCAACCACCCGCCATAAGTTCAGGGATAAGAACAGATAAAAACAATATTATACTGAGCATCTTCAAACTCTCAACAGAGTTTTGAAGATGGCCAGTGAAAAGGGTTTGATAATCAACAAAGAAAAATGTCAATTCATGCTTGACGAGATTAAATTCTTGGGGTATCGGTTGTGCAGGGAGGGTCTCAGACCTCAGAGCGAGAAGACAAAAGGCATCAAAGAGGCACCCAAACCAGAAAATGCCCAACAGCTCTGGGCCTTCCTAGGCTCAATAAACTACAATGGAAAATTCATAGGAAATTGGTCAAACACTTTGTACAAGCTCCTGCAGAAAGATGTGCCTTGGCCCTGGGGTAAAGAGCAGATAAGTACTCCCAAACAGCTAAAGGCATTCTTCTATCGTCTGAGACATTCTTGATTCATTATGACCCAGGAAAAACTTTGACCTTGATTTGTGATGCCTCTCTGGATGGAGTTGGCGCAGTGGTATCACATGAAGATGACATGGTGAGCGACCCATTGCTTTTACCAGTAGGTGACTAAATAAAGCTGAGAAGAATTATTCTCAACTGGACAGGGAAGGTCTAGCCTTGATTTTGGGGGTTTAGAAATTCCACAAATTCCTGTTTGGCAGACATTTCACACTCATAACTGATCACAAGCCTCTTTTAGGTTTATTTGGAGAGCATAAATCTCTGCCAGAACATGCCTCGCCTCGAGTGCAAAGATGGGCCATTACCCTCACAGCTTATGATTACCAATTAGAGTACAGGCCTGGCGGTGAGAACAGTGCAGATGCACTGAGGCGCTTACCTGAGTCGTTAACCTCTAAAAGACAAATGTTCAGACAATGTACCTGAAGAAATTGAAATGTTATTCAGTGTCATTGAAAACTCGAGTGTGAATGCAACTGATGTTGCAAAAGAGACAGAAAGTGATGAATGTCTGAGCAAAGTACATGAGTATTGTTTGCATGGTTGGCCTGAGAGAGAGGTGCATGAAAATTTTAAACTTTACAAACACTGGAAGCTGGCACTCAGTCTTGAAAATGGATGCATTTTGTGGGGATCAAGGGTATTCATACCAAAAACCTTTCAAAATGAAGTATCCACCATGTTACATGACACGCATGTAGGAAGCTCTAAAATGAAGAGTCTTGCTCGTTCATGGTTCTGGTTGCCAAACATGGATGCAGACATTGAGAAATTTGTGAACCTTTGTAGCACATGTGCTAAACATTCCAAACAACCCCCAAAAGCAATGTTGCATAACTGGAATTGGCCCACAGAACCTTGGAAGAGAATCCATATTGACTATGCAGGCCCCTTTCTAAACAATATGTTTCTCATAGTAATTGATGCCCACTCCAAGTGGCTAGAAGTAAAAGTCATGAACATAATCGCCACATCTGACACTATCATTAAGCAGAAGGAAATATTTTCCTACCGTGGCCTACCAGACCAGATTGTGTCTGACAATGGTCCAAGCTTTACCTCTCAAGAATTTAAATTGTTTTGTGCTGCAAATGGCATTGGGCACATAACCGCTTCGCAATATCATCCAGCCACTTATGGCTTGGCAGAGAAGGCTGTTAGCACCTTCAAAAGTTCCATTATCAAAATGGGTAACAAGTTTTCTATTCGAGAGAGAGTAAACAGATTCGTAACCAAATATCGTGTCACTCCCCACGTCACAACAGGCTTAGCTTCTTGTGAGCTGCTTTGTGGTAGAAAACTAAAGACACACCTTGATCTTCTCCACCCAACTGTACAACACTCTGTCATACAGCACCAGCAATCACAAAAACTCAACCATGACTAAACAGCCAGGGAAAGAGAGATGAAGATGGATGACAGTGTGTTTGTCAGGAGTTTTGGAAAGGGCGAGAAATGGTTGCGTGGACAAATAATTGAATATTCAGGTACTGTATCATAAAAAATTAGAACAGACCAAGGAACATTGGTACGCAGACATGCAGATCAAATCAAATTAACATGTTCTGAAAATGAGCATGAATCAGTCACCCCCCCCCCCCCCCCCCCCCCGACGCGGCTGGGAGTAGGTTTCTCTATCATATTCGTCTTCAT